AACTGTGACAAATTCGTCACTTTTTTTTCCTAAGTAGACACTCCCATAATGAAAACAATCACCAAAAGATTCTTGCATGCCATTTTGCTCAACACTTGTCTTCAGTTGGCTTCAGTTGGCTTGCAAAGTTCTGGGCTAAGCTGTGCATTTGTACAACCTTCTTTGTATGGGTTTCGAGAGTTTGATTGGTCTCAGCAATGACATCCAATGCATTTTCATTATATTCTTTGACTACCCATGAACCAGCAAAGCTCTCATCTTTTGATTCTGCTTTATAAGCTTTTCGGAATGCACCTTCTCCGAGCACATCTTCTGAAACACTAAATTCAACTGCCCTTGGTGAAGACGACCAGCTCATATCTGCCAAATTAAATCCATACAAGTGGATGGTAGTGGTAGACTTGTTTATAAGTTCACCTAGTTTCAACATATGGGTTACCGAGAGACTCTTAGGCATTGGTGTTGAGATTTTAGCTTTTTTGGACTTGGAACAGAGTTAGGGCCCTTTCGTTTTACAGTTGTGCTTTGCGGATGAACTGGGTCAGTATCATCAACGAATACAGGCGCATCTGCTGTCGAGCTTTTGTTTATGAATCTGACGTATATAAGATTCATATTAGGTATTTGCTTCAAGGATGCGCAGAAAGGTCCTTGCTCACCGGCAAGAATATCACATACAACATTGTTTCCAACCTTCGGTTCAAAATGTTTCAGGCATGCATCCTTCACTCGTTCAATTGTCATCTCTTCTTTTGTATAAAATCGATCTAGATCTTCATCGTCGTCGTCATATAACTGGACAAATTCCCTTGGGCCGATACGTGAATACTTTTGGGCCTTGCCCGACACGTCCGCGCTTAACATTTGAACAGTTATTTCACGTTTGGAAACATCTTTCCCTTTTTGGCTCTTCCCACTCAAGCGTTTTTTTTTCATATCTTCTTTGAACTTTCGCCATTTCTCCGCCATGTTGCTTTCCGCGCGGGCAAAGGTTCATGGGATGTTATGATAGCGCTCGGCCGCTGCTCGGCCAGTGTGCTCGGCTCATGGGAATTTCTCTCGGGTCGCTGTGCATTATGGTAGTGGCAGCCCTCGGCCATGGTGAAATTCACTTTTACTTTGTAATTTTAATTGTAAATCAGTATTTTGTATTTCATTTTAATTTACTTTTATTTTTCATTTTAATTTATTTTATTTTTCATTTTAATTTATTTTTATTTTTTACTTTAATTAAAAAAAATTTATAAAGAATATTTTGGTAGTGGCAGCCCTCGGCCATGGTGAAATTCACTTTTACTTTAATTTTAATTGTAAATTATTTTGTATTTCATTTTAATTTATTTTGTATTTCATTTTAATTTATTTTGTATTTCATTTTAATTTATTTTTATTTTTCATTTTAATTAAAAAAATAAAAAGTAAAAAAATCTTTAAAATAATGTAAAATGTACAAAAAAAACGAGTGGCAACGCTCGGCCACCATACTGTACCTTTACTCGTAATTAAGGTGCACATTTTTCCCATTATGTCATTGTCAATTGCAAGAAAACAGAAAAAGTATGATCGAATTACAGACATCAGTAAAACAAGATGACACTACTCGTACCCGTACACCGAAACCGGGGTATCTTAACCTCTCTATTAGCTTCTCTTGGACCATGCATTTGACTTCCTAATACAGAAAACTTTTTTCGTGAATTGGTTGATTTTTAATAAGAAATTCTTAACAAAGTCGCACTATTGTGACTCGCCAGACTTTTATTGTCGTAGATTACATAAGAGTATGAACGCCGAATCATACCCAACGGAGCAGTTTTTAATCAACAATCCATATGCACTTTGCACTTATTTAAGTAGTTTACGAAATGAATTCGACGTTATTGTTGAATATTATGAACGAACCTCAGAGCGCTTTTCACTAGAAGAGTCTTCGTTTTTGCCGGACTGATCTACTTCCGTTTTCCCAATTTACTTCCGCTTCCTCATCTTTTAGTTGTATCGGTAGTTGTATCGGTTTATGACATTGATGTATTTGGACATAACATCAATGTGTAGTACCTATAAACATCAATTTACAGCGCAACTAGATTGATACATTTCAGATATTTTGTCCGCTAAAAAACTTGATGCAAGTGCAAAGAGAAAGTTTACATTTGGGAAGTTGATTTTGCGCAAGACTCTGTGGAAACAGCAATTAAATATGGCGTCAAAATTGGCGTCTCGAAGTGGCTTAGATTCAGAATGGAATGATGTTTCTGCCTCAATTGATCTGTTTCTTGTTCAGCATGAAAGAAAATTTGATGAAGGAAGACTGCGGATTATAAAAAGTCATTGGATAGCTGATAAAGAAAGAAAACAATGCTCAAACAAATTGTGTGCTGTAAATTTTTCTCTGACTGAAAGGAAACACCATTGCCGCAGGTAGCAGTCTATTTATGAACAATATCAAGGCATTTTTAATACCATGGACTGGCGGGGCATTTGCCCCACTGGGCCCCTTCCTCTGCCCCACCACTGAAGAAAAAAAATTACCTATTGCCTCAAAGCCAGGGCCCTAGGACCTGTATTGAGTAAATGAGTTTAACATTGAAAAAAGTTTAAAAAACAAAATTTGTTGGTGAGCATACTTAAACTTATGTTGTGTATGAATGTTTAGCTTGCAATTTATTACAAATTTCACCATTACAACTTTGTTTTGAGAAGCTGAGATTTTTTTAATGTGTTCTCAGAATGCAGGAAATGCTATTTCAGAGACTCACTCCAATTTTAAAAATTTCCCGGGAGGCATTTCCCCCAGACCCCTTAACTAACTGGTGCTTTTGGTACTCAGCTCACACCTTCGGCGATTGCATCCTACCCAGAGGGGGGGGGGGGGCAAGGAGAGAATAGGCCCTTTGACAGTTTTGACCCACCACTGGACAATATACACATTATTTTGCATGTGTTGGTGTTATGTACTCAGGTGAATATGATGTTTGTGATGTTACTCTGAGTGTGCATCCACACCAGGCAAGCTGAAAAGTTAGCTTGGCCATGCACGGTGGGAATCGATCCCAAAGGTCGCGGGTTCGATTCCCACCATGGCCAAACTAACTTTTCAGCTCAGCCCGGTGTGGATGCACACTCAGAGTAACATCACAAATATACACATGTTGTGACAGCAAGTTTAGGATATTCCTCCATATTAAAGTACTCCCAGACAGAAGTGCAATTACACATGACGAACCGCACTGCCTTAATTATGCAAACTTTGTGTTTTAAAAACACGAATCTCCGGAAACGCATTAGCTCATAACTGTCACCAATCCAGGTGAAGTGTATAAATTAACTAAGATTTTTCGCTACATGATATTGCTGATCTCAGTAGGAGCTCTGACGAAACCTGTTATTAATATTGTTATTAATTAAAGGTACAGATTGAAGGTGTTTTGGATCTTCTGAGTGATAACAATTTTTTATTTATTCTATGACATTTATTGCGGGAAGCAATAACACCTGTAAATGTTGCGCTTTTTCGCCTTCTGATGGCCTCAACTTAGCAGCATCGCCATGGTACCCAGAATGACATATTACAAAGTTATGTGTTCTGTGATGGTGGCTAACTGGTTTTTTCAGTATTTGACGCACATTCTTCTATGACTATAATAAATGTTTAAGAGTACATCTCTTAAATATATCGTTGAGACATGATTTGCTTAGCACGATAATCTGTTCGCACTTATAAAACTCCCCAACTTTTAATTTAAAACAACTCTCTTTAAAGCATAAACATCGGCATTGCTTGCTGGTGACTGTTTTGACTTACCTTCTATTATTTCAGGTGCAATATGCGCATGCTATTCCCGATATTCAGCCTTCATTCCTTTCGTTTAGCATTTGCGAATGAACATGCCTTACCAAAGTCTATCAGTATGGCATGGAACTGCACATTATCCTTAGTAACCATGACATTGTCCAATTTTATATCATTGACATTGTGCAAAATCTTGTTGTCGTGCAGATACGTCAAGGTGTTACTTAGTTGTGCTATGATGGATATGCCTTCCAAATTACTTAGATGAAACTAGGATATTTCGAGATTTGGGAAATGGTACAAAGACGTATTTCTTTTATCAATGCCATAAAACAAAGAAACTATAAGCCACGGCCTCGTCTTAACATTCCTGTCAATGTAAATTGTGCACCACTCAAAGCAAGCATATTTTGTATGACAGCAGCATTTCAGAAACTATATTTATACACTTGAAAAGAATCATAATAATGTTAATCAAATAATGTTAAGCTTCATCTGATTAAGATGGCACATTGTTGGACACAAGGGTATATCAACTTAAAAGTATTTCGAACAATTAATAAGTTTGCGATCATGCAAGATCATATGCAATAGATTGTGCATAGCATAGCATAACATAGGAAAGCAAGCATATTATATATTGTATTTATCGCAAGTCGCAACATCATTTTAGCAACTCAAATTCCGTTTGAATTTAGAAATCTTAGTTCCATCTGCGTATTTATTCAAATAATTTTAAGCTTCAACTGATTAAAGTAAGATGAAACATCTTCAAAATCTGTCAGCATAAGATGACGCATCTTTCTGACACAAGAGTATATCAGCTTAATCGTATTTCGAACAAATAAATATATTCGCAATCACGCAAGGTCATGCATGCAGTAGATTGTGCATAGCAAAGCAATCATATTGTATTTATCGCAACATCATGTTAGCAACTCAAACCAAATAATTTTAAGCTTCAACTGATTAAGATAAGATGAAACATCTTCAAAATCTGTCAGCATAAGATGACGCATCTTTCTGACACAAGAGTATATCAGCTTAAAAGTATTTGGAACAAATAAATTTGTCATCATGCAAGATCATGCAGTAGATTGTGTATTATAGCAAAGCAATGTCATATTGTATTTATCGCAACATTATGTTAGCAACTCAAATTCCATTTCAATTTAGAAACGTAGTTCCATATGCCTATTTATTCAAATAATTTTAAGCTTCAATTACTGATTAAGGTAAGATGAAGCATCTTCAAAATTTGTCAGCATAAGATGACGCATCTTTCTGACACAAGAGTATATCAGCTTAAAAGTATTTGGAACAAATAAACTTGTCATCATGCCGCAAGATCATGCAGTAGATTGTGCATTATAGCAAAGCAATGTCATATTGTATGTATCGCAACATTATCTTAGCAACTCAAATTCCATTGGAATTTACATTATTTAATACAGTATCATATAAGTGGATTAGAAAGCTTTCGGCCAATATTTTGAGCCGTGTACTTTGCAAAACATCGAGATCGAGTTGCAGAGACTGACATATAAACCTACCTTTCTTGACTCCTTTCGGCATGAGTTACTGCACGTAGTTATTTACTTACTGTACGCTTTCCAGAACTATGAAAATTGTTTAATCATACCAATATACATCACTCTGAATAATCCTAGTAAGATGAAGACCATTCGCGTTCGTATATAAGCGAGAATTAATCCGTTTCAAAAGTTTGTATACGTTTTTGGTTCGTCTTTCAATATGTTCTCTAAGAGCATGCACTATGTGCTCAATCATTCGCGCCGTTTCGTCCCTTTCGTTGTTCTTCAGAGTAACGCTTGGTGTTGTGTTGGCGCCAATTTCTTCAAGCGGGAACGAGTTGACCATTTGGCGTATATGCTGGAATACGCTGGACTGCAGCCACGCTCCGTCAAATGTGCGCTAACTGCGCTTTCTCATCGCGAATGTTAAGATACCGAATGACGAGACAACGTAAGCTTCGGCGGTTTTCCGTCCAGCATTAAACCAACGGTACGGCACTAGATTACCATGGTAATCCTGAAGCTCAGGTCTTTTATATTGACCGGCTTGAATTCGTGCGGGAAACATTGCAATATATATTTATTGCCATTATTCCTATTTGATATGCTTGAACCGGGCAAGCAGTAATTATAGGCGTACCAATTTCTATCTGGCTCGATCCAAACAATGCGAAAATAATTTGCCAAGCCAGCTACACCAGACACTGATGATTCTAATTTGGCGCGTTTATGGCAAAACAGTATAATTTGTAGTTTCCTTGTAAAGTGATGACAGCGTAAACAAACCATATTGTACGTTAATAACTTAAATACATGTCTTAATATTTAACAGTTACACCAAGCGATGTATTGCATTACAAAGTTTCTTCTCCTCTTATTAATAGCCTATAATTGGTGTCTGTCAAACCTAATTATAACTTCTATGGCAACAGACACTTCACCCTTAATTTTTTCGCACCTAGTGCGGTTCATCATGTAGGAATTAGCCATTCCGAAGTTGATGAGTAGACTGGGGACGAGTGTTAAAATGTGCCCAAATTAAGAAATGAACCAAATCACTGAAAAGACCACCTCAAAATTAGTAAGTATACAAAATTTGAAGACGTTTACATGAATATCCTTCGAATAATAAGCTTTCGAAAATCCGATTTTTACTATGAAATGTATTGCAATCTTTTAATCAGTAATTTCATAATTTTCGAAAGTTTATTATTTGAAGGGTATTCATGTAAACGTCTTCAAACTTTGTATACTTACTAATTTTAAGGTGATCTTTTTAGTGATTTAGTTCATTTCTTAAGGTAATTCCGCAGTTTTGCATTGCGCACTTTTACTGCGCACATCTTATAACTTATAATTTCATCCATTATATGTACCGTTAAAAAAAATATCATTTTATGACAATTTTATGTTACTTCAAAACATCTTTGGTTACGTTCGGGCAAACTTAATTACGTTAAAATCAATGTTTTCAAAAAAGGCATATAAGTGTACAGACACAGGTCTGTAGTATATTTGTTTACTTGTATTTCACCTTTTAAATTCCCTAAATTCCCTAAAAAGATCGGTGACCCCCGTTTTTTAACCGATAATTTATTTCTTTAATGCATTTTACATTACATATCCGAAATTAAAAGAAAAATAATTTCTGGATTTTGAAAAAAAATGTTTTATCAATGCATGTTTTCAAAGAAAGATATGTAAAGAAATGTGCAAATTAAGACATTTGTGGATCAGAATTGTACACGTTAGTAGTTTCATTTCGCTCAAAACACAATATTTTTTCAAAAATAATTACAAGATAGGTTTATTAAAGCAAAATCCACGCTAAAAACGTCAATAAATATCGGGCTGCTGTGAATTTGCTGTTACTCGTAATGAGCGTCAAGATGGCGCCATATTGGGGTAAAGGTGATATATTGTGATTGTCATATCTTCTTAACGAGTTCGGTGACCCCGACTTTTTTGTGTGATTTTACTTTAAGTATATCATAAACTCCATGCCTGGGAAGTTTCAGCACATTCTCATTTCGGGAACAATTACTGCGGAATTACCTTAATTTGGGCACTTTTTAACACTCGTCCCCAGTCCACTCATCAACTTTGGAATGGCTAATTGTACAATGACTAAAACTCAGTGTTTAGATGTAGCATAGACAGATTTTTTGGGGGTGCAGGGCCGGTGCTACCCCCTCCCCCCCCCAAATATTAGTTTTCACCCC